CATTTGCTATCTCTATATACTTTACTAAGTTATCCTATATTCACTTGCTATATCTCTATACACTTCACTTCTGCTATCTCTATATTCCTTTACTCTGCCATCTCTATATTCCTCACTCTGCCATCCTATATACTCTACTTACTACATCCTATATCCTCACCTGCCATCCTATATCACCTCACCTGCCTATCTTATACACTTTCACCTGCCATCCTAGTAGTCTCTCACCTGCATATCTCTATACACTCACCTGCCATCCTATACATACTCACTCCCTGCCATCCTATATCCTCACCTGCCATCCTATACACTCACCTGCCATCCTATATACTCACCTGCCATCCTATATCCTCACTTCGCTATCTCTACATTCTCACCTGCCATCCTATACACTCACCTGCCATCCTATACATCTCACCTGCCATCCTATATCCTCACCTGCCATCCTATACACTCACTCTGCCATCTCTATACACTTCACTCTGCCATCCTATACTCTCACCTGCTATCCTATATCCTCACCTGCCATCCTATACACTTCACCTCGCCATCCTATACACTTCACCTGCCATCTCATATCCTCACCTGCCATCCTATACACTCACCTGCCATCCTATACACTCACCTGCCATCCTATATCCTCACCTGCCATCCTATATCCTCACCTGCCATCCTATACACTCACCTGCCATCCTATATCACTCACCTGCCATCCTATATCCTCACCTGCCATCCTATATACCTCACCTGCCATCCTATACACTCACCTGCCATCCTATATCCTCACCTGCCATCCTATATCACTCACCTGCCATCCTATACACTCACCTGCCATCCTATATACCTCACCTGCCATCCTATATCCTCACCTGCCATCCTATACACTCACCTGCCATCCTATACACTCACCTGCCATCCTATATCCTCACCTGCCATCCTATATCCTCACCTGCCATCCTATATCACTCACCTGCCATCCTATACACTCACCTGCCATCCTATATCCTCACCTGCCATCCTATATCCTCACCTGCCATCCTATACACTCACCTGCCATCCTATATCACTCACCTGCCATCCTATATCCTCACCTGCCATCCTATATCCTCACCTGCCATCCTATACACTCACCTGCCATCCTATACACTCACCTGCCATCCTATATCCTCACCTGCCATCCTATACACTCACCTGCCATCCTATACACTCACCTGCCATCCTATATCACTCACCTGCCATCCTATATCCTCACCTGCCATCCTATACACTCACCTGCCATCCTATATCACTCACCTGCCATCCTATACACTCACCTGCCATCCTATATCCTCACCTGCCATCCTATATCCTCACCTGCCATCCTATACACTCACCTGCCATCCTATATCCTCACCTGCCATCCTATATCACTCACCTGCCATCCTATACACTCACCTGCCATCCTATATCCTCACCTGCCATCCTATATCACTCACCTGCCATCCTATATCACTCACCTGCCATCCTATATCCTCACCTGCCATCCTATACACTCACCTGCCATCCTATACACTCACCTGCCATCCTATATCCTCATCTGCCATCCTACATCCTCACCTGCCATCCTATACACTCACCTGCCATCCTATACACTCACCTGCCATCCTATACACTCACCTGCCATCCTATATCCTCACCTGCCATCCTATATCCTCACCTGCCATCCTATATACTCACCTGCCATCCTATATCCTCACCTGCCATCCTATATCACTCACCTGCCATCCTATATCCTCACCTGCCATCCTATATCCTCACCTGCCATCCTATATACTCACCTGCCATCCTATACACTCACCTGCCATCCTATATCACTCACCTGCCATCCTATACACTCACCTGCCATCCTATACACTCACCTGCCATCCTATATCCTCACCTGCCATCCTATATCACTCACCTGCCATCCTATACACTCACCTGCCATCCTATATCTACTCACCTGCCATCCTATATCCTCACCTGCCATCCTATACACTCACCTGCCATCCTATATCCTCACCTGCCATCCTATATCCTCACCTGCCATCCTATATCCTCACCTGCCATCCTATATCCTCACCTGCCATCCTATATCCTCACCTGCCATCCTATATCCTCACCTGCCATCCTATATCCTCACCTGCCATCCTATACACTCACCTGCCATCCTATACACTCACCTGCCATCCTATATCCTCACCTGCCATCCTATACACTCACCTGCCATCCTATATCCTCACCTGCCATCCTATACACTCACCTGCCATCCTATATCCTCACCTGCCATCCTATATCCTCACCTGCCATCCTATACACTCACCTGCCATCCTATACACTCACCTGCCATCCTATATCCTCACCTGCCATCCTATACACTCACCTGCCATCCTATATCCTCACCTGCCATCCTATACACTCACCTGCCATCCTATATCCTCACCTGCCATCCTATATCCTCACCTGCCATCCTATACACTCACCTGCCATCCTATACACTCACCTGCCATCCTATATCCTCACCTGCCATCCTATATCCTCACCTGCCTCCCTAAACACCCATCTGCCTTTCTGTATGATCATTCACCTTCCTGTACACTCACCTGCCATCCTATGTGCCCCTCCATCTTCCCATATAATCATCTCTACCTTCCCATATGGTCATCTACCATCCCGTGTGCTCCCCTGCCTTCCCAAACACTCACCTGTCTTCCTACAGGCTCACCTGCCTTCCTATGTGTCCACCCACCTTCCCATGTGCTCATCCATCTTCCCATGTGCTCACCCACCTTCCCATATAATCATTTACATTCCCATGTGCTCATCCACCTTCCCATGAGCTCATCCACCTTCCCATATAATCATTTACCTTCCCATGTGCTCATCCACCTTCCCATATAATCATCCATCTTCCCATGTGCTCATCCCCCTTCCCAAACCCTCATCCCCCTTCCCAAACCCTCATCCCTCTTCCCAAACCCTCATCCCCCTTCCCAAACCCTCATCCCCCTTCCCAAACCCTCATCCCCCTTCCCAAACCCTCATCCCCATTCCCAAACCCTCATCCCCCTTCCCAAACCCTCATCCCTCTTCCCAAACCTCATCCTCTTCCCAAACCCTCATCCCTCTTCCCAAACCCTCATCTCCATTCCCAAACCCTCATCCCCCTTCCCAAACCCTCATCCCCCTTCCCAAACCCTCATCCCCCTTCCCAAACCCTCATCCCCCTTCCCAAACCCTCATCCCCATTCCCAAACCCTCATCCCTCTTCCCAAACCCTCATCCCCATTCCCAAACCCTCATCCCCCTTCCCAAACCCTCATCCCTCTTCCCAAACCCTCATCCCTCTTCCCAAACCCTCATCTCCATTCCCAAACCCTCATCCCTCTTCCCAAACCCTCATCCCTCTTCCCGAACCTTCATCCCTCTTCCCAAACCCTCATCCCTCTTCCCAAACCCTCATCCCTCTTCCCAAACCCTCATCCCTCTTCCCAAACCCTCATCTCCATTCCTAAACCCCTCATCCCTCTTCCCAAACCCTCATCTCCATTCCCAAACCCTCATCCCTCTTCCTAAACCCTCATCCCTCTTCCCAAACCTTCATCCCTCTTCCCAAACCCTAATCCTCCTTTCCAAACCCTCATCCCTCTTCCACCCCCCTCTTGGATCCACTTCCATTGGATCCACTCCCCTTGGATCCACTCCCTTTGGATCCATTCCCTTTGGATCCATTCCCTTTGGATCCACTCCCCTTGGATCCATTCCTCCTGGATCCACTCCCTTTGGATCCATTCCCTTTGGATCCATTCCCTTTGGATCCACTCCCCTTGGATCCATTCCCCCTGGATCCACTCCCTTTGGATCCATTCCCTTTGGATCCACTCCCCTTGGATCCATTCCCCTTGGATCTGCTGCTCTTGGATCCACTCCCCTTGGATCCATTCCCCTTGGATCTGCTGCTCTTGGATCCACTCCCTTGGATCCATTCCCTTTGGATCCATTCCCTTTGGATCCACTCCCCTTGGATCCACTTCCATTGGATCCACTCCCCTTGGATCCATTCCCCCTTGGATCCATTCCCTTTGGATCCATTCCCTTTGGATCCACTCCCCTTGGATCCATTCCCCCTTGGATCCATTCCCTTGGATCCATTCCCTTTGGATCCACTCCCCTTGGATCCACTGCTCTTGGATCCACTTCCATTGGATCCGCTGCTCTTGGATCCATTCCCTTTGGATCCACTCCCTTTGGATCCATATCCCCCCCCCTCCCCCCCCCAAAGGTCAAAGGGAAAGGCTGGGTGGGGAAAAACCGGCTCCAATTTATTGGGAACGTTGGGAATGCCGAGAAGAGGGAAATAAAAACCATCAGGAATGTGAATATCTGAGTTGTGAAGCCATAAAAACGCCAATAAAGCTTTTTTTTTATTTGGGATTTCTTGAGGGTTTTGTGGGATGGGGAAGGGAAAACCTCCATGGCAGAGAATTGGTTTGAAATGTTGGGAAAGCCAGGGAAAAAATGATCCCAAAGAAAATCCTTAGGAATGAGAGGGCACAGGGGCAAAATTATCGATTATTTTATATGATATTGGTATAAAAAGGGATTTAATCTGACATCAACCCCAAACTCTTCATTGTACAGTGATGGTGGGAATCAGTGAGGTGGGAATTGGGAAAGTCGGGAAGCAGAGGGGTCAAATAAAATCCTAAGGGGAGTTTTCCACGCTCTTGGAAGGATCTGTCAAGATTTTGATGGGATATTGGGGATAAAATCTCCCCTGGGAGGGTGGGGAGGGGCTGGGCTGGAATTCCCAGGGAAGCTGTGGCTGCCCCTGGATCCCTGGAGTGTCCCAGGCCGGGTTGGATCCCCTGGGATAGCGGGAGGTGTCCCTGAACATGGAATGGGATCATCCTGAAAATCCCTTCCCACCCAACCCATTCCATGATTCCGGGATAAAGGGCACTCAGGATCCACCCAGAGGGGTTTTTATGGAATGTGGGGATGGAAAAGGCGGGGAAGGGGAAGGGAGACCCTTCCCTGAGTGCCGAGATTCCCAGGGAACCCCCCCTTGTTCCCGGAACTCCTTCCCAGAGAGGAGTTGGGCTGGGCATGGATCCAATGTCAGGCTCTGGATCCAGGCTGGGAGAGCTGGGAATGGCCAGGCTGGAGCAGGGAAGGATCCAGGGAGAGCTGGGAGCCCCTTCCAGAGCTTGCAGGGGCTCCAGGAGAGCTGGAGAGGGATTTGGGATCAGGGCCTGGAATGGCAGGACACAGGGAATGGCTTCCCACTGGGAAAGGGGAGATTGGGGTGGGAGATTGGGAAGGGATTCCCGGCCGGGCTGGAATTCCCAGGGAAGCTGTGGCTGCCCCTGGATCCCTGGGGTGTCCCAGGCCGGGCTGGATCCCCTGGGACAGTGGGAGGTGTCCCCAAACATGGAATGGGATGATCCATAAGGTCCCCTCCCCCCATCCCAAAATCCCGGGACACTCCACCCCACTCCACTCCAGGCGCTCCCGCGGTGCCAACACGGACGTTTATTGGGATCGGGAATGACGACGACGATGGATCCGGAACCCTCCCCGCCTTCCCGGCCCTCGGAGGGCCCTTCCCTGCCCTTTGGCTCCGCCCGGGAACGCCGGGATCGGCCCGGGAAGCTCCCGGGATGGAGCTGGGAACGCGCGCACGCGGCCGGGAATTCCGGGATAACTCCGGCATCTCCACCCCCACTACGGATGGAAAACAGATGGAATTCCGGGTGGAATTCCGAGCCTCCCCCCCCCCCCAAAAAATAAAACCTGGAAGGGCCGTGCCAGTGTGGGGAGATTCCCATGGAAAAACAGCGGGAATGGCGGGATCTGCGGCTGCTCCACAGGGATAACCCCCCCCCACCTCTTTTCCCAAAGGGAATGCCGGGAGAATTCCCGGGGGCTCGTCCTGCTCTTCCCACCCTCCTGAGGAATTTGGGAGGCGGTTTTTCCAGGGAATTTTTTTTTAAAGGATTTCATTTCCTTGGAACTTTTTTTCCCCAGGAAAAATCACCTTTTCCTGCTTCGTATTCCCAGTCTGGAACTCCCCAGGGAGCAAAACCAGGAATATCGGGAATAGGGGATGGAGACACACACAGGGAAGCAGGAAAAGCAGGGAAAAGGGCAGGAATTAGGGGCTGGATAAAAGAGGCCCTCAGGCAACAAATCCTGAAATAAATCCGGGTTTTCCCGGGATCTTCAGCTCCCTCCTTCCCTAAAAACCCAGGCAAGCAAGGGGAGACCTCGGGGCTATCCCAAATCCATGGAAAACAACAAATAAACAGGGATGGGGAGGCGCAATTCCAGCTCCAAACGACCTGGAGGAAGGAGGAGGAGGAGGAGGAGGGGGAGTTTTCCAGCAGCAGATCCCGCTTTTTCCAGCTTTTTTTTCCTGCCTTCCTCCCTCCAGTGGGAAGGAGATTCCCGGGATGCTTAGGGGATTCCCAGGAAGCTGCCAAATCCCAGGATTTTTTCTTTTTTTTTTTGGGGATCAGCCCCTCCCCCAACTCGAGATCCCAAATTCTCCTTTTTTGGGAGAATCCAGGATTCACTTCCCGGAGTTTTCCCAAGCGAAACCCTCATCCCAAATCCGGCTTTATCCCCATTGCATCCCTAAAACCCAGGGATGGATCCACATTCCCCCCCTCCCCCCCCCCAAAATAAATTCCTCTTTTTCCCAGCGTTTTCCCGGGATTTCCTCGCAGTTCCCGAGGTCGGACTTTCCCGCTCCACAAATTGGGAATTTTGTTTTGGAAGCAGGAACTCCTTCCAAAAAAAAAAAAACCCTGGAAACTCCATCCAACGAGGAGGAGGGGGGTGGTGGTGTTGTTGGATGTGCTGATATTCCCTGGAATGTCACCATTCCAGGCATCCCATGGAATTCCCAGCCTGGAAATTCATCCTGTGGCTTTTCCACACACAAAAAAACCCCAATCCCACGGATGGATTTTTCCCAAGGGAAAAGGGTGGGTTGGAATGACCTGGAGCCAGCCAGGCTGCTGGAATTCCCTGCTCCAGCCTGGCACAATCCGTCCCTTTTCCGGGATGGATCCCAACCCGTCCAGGGATCCGAATTCCCGGGATCCACCTCCCCATTCCCACCGGGATTTGGGGTTGGGATCATCCCCCCCCTTCCCTTCCCAGTCCTATCCTGCCTCTCCCGGCCTCATCCCGAGGGAATGTCGGGATTTTTCCAGGAGGGAAAGGCGCATTCCCAATCCCTTCCATCCTCTCTTCCCAAAAATCCCCAGGATGGACTCCCAGCCGACATTCCCGCCCTTCCTTCCCAAAGCTCCAGGCCAGAGGGGGGGGAGAGAGAGAGGATTCCCAGCAGGAATTCCGGGAGTGTCCCCGCTTTTCCCGGCGCGGGAATGTTTTCCAGGGGGATTTCCCAGCGCTCCCAGGGCTCAGTAGACGCAGAGATCCGGAAATTTCATCTCGTACACCGGGATGGAGCTCTGGGATTGGCCGTAGGCGGCCGTGACGGTGCCCGAGGGGCTGGGAGGAGGCCTGGGAAAAAACAGGGAATGCCGGGAATGGGAGGAAAAGGGGGGAAAAGGGATCGCTCATCCCACACTCCCACATCCCAAAGGCCCTTCCCACCCCCCATTCCCAACCTCCTGCATCCCAAATCCAGCCCAAATCCCCCCATCCCAAATCTATCCTAAATCACCCCTCATCCCAAATCCAACCCAGGAATTCCCCCCCATCCCAAATCCATCCCAGAAATCCCCCCATCCCAAATCCATCCCAGGAATCCCCCATCCCAAATCCAACCCAGGAATCCCCCCCCATCCCAAATCCAATCCCAGGAATTCCCCCCATCCCAAATCCATCCCAAATCCCAAATCCCCATCACCAGGGTCCCACCCCATCCCAAATCCCCTCCCCATACCCAGGAATTCCCCCCATCCCAAATCCCCCATCCCAAATCCACCAGAAATCCCCCCCATCCCAAATCCAACCCAGGAATCCCCCCATCCCAAATCCACCCAGAATCTCCCCATCCCAAATCACCAGAATCCCCATCCCAAATCCATCCCAAATCCCCCCCATCCCAAATCCATCCCAGAATCCCATCCCAACCATCCCAAATCCCATCCAACATCAAATCCCCCCCATCCCAAATCCAGACCAGAAATCCCCCATCCCAAATCCAGACCAATCCCCCCATCCCAAATCCAGACCAAATCCCCCATCCCAAATCCAATCCAGGAATTCCCCCATCCCAAATCCATCCCAGGAATCCCCCCATCCCAAATCCATCCCAGGAATCCCCTTCATCCCAAATCCAAAACCCTCCCCATCCCAAATCCAACTCAGGAATCCCCTTCATCCCAAATCAGGAACCTCCCCATATCCCAAATCCAATCCAGGACCCCCCCCCCATCCCAAATCCTACCCAGGAATCCCTTCATCCCAAATCCAACCCCCCATCCCAAATCCATCCCAAATTCCCCCATTCCAAATCCCACCCAGGAATCCCCTCCATCCCAAATCCATTCCATGAATCCCCTTCATCCTAAACCCATCCCAAATCCCCCCCCTGCATCCCAAATCCATCCCAGGAATCCCCTTCATCCCAAATCCAAGCCCCTCCCCATCCCCAATTCCCCCATCCCAAAGCCCCCATCCCAAACTTATCCCAGGAACCCCCCATCCCAAATCCAATCCAGGAATCCCCTTCATCCCAACCCCTCCCATCCCAAATTCCCCCATCCCAAATCCCCCATCCCAAATCCACCCCAGGAATCCTCCCATCCCAAATCCAAACCCCTCCCCATCCCAAATTCCCTCCCATCCCAAATCCCCCATATCCCAAATCCATCCCAGGAATCCCCCCATCCCAAATCCACCCCAGAAATCCCCCATCCCAAATCCACCCCAGGAACCCCCATCCCAAACCCATCCCAGGAATCCCCTTCATCCCAAATCCATCCCAGGAATCCCCCCATCCCAAATCCATCCCAAATCCCCCCCCCATCCCAATCCCTGCCGTGATTCCCGTCGGGAATGCTGCTCTGACCGGATGGTGATCTCGAAGATCTGGTTGAGTTTGCTCTGCAGCAGCGACGCCTGAGAACGAACAAAACCCCGGGATCAGCGGGAATTCCCGGCATTCCCGGCGGGAATTTGGGGATTTCCGGGGCTGTTCCCTCACCCTGGCCCCGCAGTGGGCGGCGATTTCCTCGAACGGAGCCTTCTGGAATTTCTCCACCACCTGGCGCCGCCGCTCCCGCTCCTGCTCCTCCACGGCCACGCTGTCTGCTGGAGCGGCCGGGAAAAACGGGATCGGAGCACCGACCGGGAGCGGGGCACGGACCGGGATCGGAGCACGGCCCGGGAAATCAGACCATCCGGGATCTGAGACCACCCCGGGATCGGAGCACCGACCGGGATCGGAGCACCGACCGGGATATCAGACCATCCCGGGATCTGAGACCACCCCGGGATCGGAGCACGGCCCGGGATCGGAGCACGGCCCGGGATCTGAGCCCATCCCGGGATCTGAGCCCTTCCCGGGATCTGAGCCCTTCCCGGGATCTGAGCCCATCCCGGGATCTGAGCCCATCCAGGATCTGAGACACCCCGGGATCTGGAGCCCATCCCGGGATCTGAGCCCATCCCAGGATCTGAGCCCTTCCCGGGATCTGAGCCCATCCAGGATCTGAGACCACCCTGGGATCTGAGCCCATCTGGGATCTGAGCCCATCCCGGGATCTGAGCCCTTCCCGGGATCTGAGACCACCCCGGGATCTGAGCCCATCCCGGGATCTGAGCCCATCCCGGGATCTCAGACCACCCCGGGATTTGAGACCATCCCGGGATCTGAGCCCACCCCGGGATTTGAGACCACCCCGGGATCTGAGACCACCCCGGGATCTGAGCACTTCCCGGGATCTGAGCCCATCCCGGGATCTGAGCCCTTCCCGGGATCTGAGACCACCCTGGGATCTGAGCCCTTCCCAGGATCTCAGACCACCCCGGGATCTGAGCCCTTCCCGGGATCTGAGCCCATCCAGGATCTGAGCCCTTCCCAGGATCTCAGACCACCCTGGGATCTGAGCCCTTCCCGGGATCTCAGACCATCCCAGGATCTGAGCCCATCCCGGGATCTGAGCCCATCCCGGGATCTGAGCCCTTCCCGGGATCTGAGCCCATCCAGGATCTGAGCCCATCCCAGGATCTGAGCCCTTCCCGGGATCTGAGAGAGACCATCCGGGATCTGAGCCCATCCCGGGATCTGAGACCATCCTGGGATCTGAGCAATTCCCAGGATCTGAGCCCATCCCGGGATCTGAGCCCATCCCGGGATCTGAGAGAGACCATCCGGGATCTGAGCCTTTCCCGGGATCTGAGCCCATCCAGGATCTGAGACCATTCCAGGATCTGAGACCACCCCAGGATCTGAGCCCATTCCGGGATCTGAGCCCATTCCGGGATCTGAGCCCATCCCGGGATCTGAGCCCATTCCGGGATCTGAGCAATTCCCGGGATCGGAGCACGGCCCGGAATCTGAGCCCATCTGGGATCTGAGCAATTCCCGGGATCTGAGCCCATCCCGGGATCTGAGCCCATCTGGGATCTGAGCCCATCCCAGGATTCGGGGAGGGCAAGGATGAGGATTTGGGGGAGGGGGGGGAGGTGGGAATGGAGCAGGGGGAGATGGGAAAGCTCATCCCAGGGAAAAAGAGGGATCAGGAGGGAGCTTTTCCAGCCCTCACAATCCCCAATTCCCAGGGAATGAGGGCCATGAGGAGAGGGAATATCGGGAACGATTCCCACCTGGAAAGGGCTGTCAGGCACTGGAATGAACTTCCCAGGGCAGGGCTGGATTCCCAATCCCTGCAGGGATTCCCAAATTCCCTGGGGATTGGGACAGGGGGCAGGGCCGGGTTGTGATCCCAGAGGGATTTTTCCCGCTTTGGTAATTCCCAGAATTCCAGGATTTTCCCCCTCCTTACCGATCGCTTTCTTCAGCGTCTCGTAGGTGATCTCCTCAGCTGGAGCTCTCTGGGAAAAGGGAAAAAAAGGGGATAAAGCTCCAGGAAAAGGGGATGAGGTTCCAGGAAAAGGGGATGGATGAGGATCTGGGAAAAGGGGATGAGGGTCCAGGAAAAGGGGGATGAAGCTCTGGGAAAAGGGGATGAAGCTCCAGGAAAAGGGGGATGAGGATCCAGGAAAAAAGGGGATGAAGCTCCAGGAAAAGGGGGATGAGGATCCAGGAAAAAAGGGGACGAAGCTTCAGGAAAAAGGGGATGAGGATCCAGGAAAAAAAGGGGTGAGGCTCCAGGAAAAAAGGGGGTGAGGGAGAAGGGAAAAGGGGATGAGGATCCAGGAAAAAAGGGGATGACGATCCAGGAAAAGGGGGATGAGGCTCCAGGAAAAGGGGATGAAGCTCTGGAAAAAAAGGGATGAGGGAAAAGGGAAAAAGGGATGAAGTTCCAGGAAAAGGGGGATGAGGATTCAGGAAAAGGGGGATGAAGCTCCAGGAAAAGGGGATGAAGCTCTGGAAAAAAAGGGGATGAGGGAAAAGGGAAAAAGGGATAAGGCTCCAGGAAAAACAAGAGGGATGAAGCTCCAGGAATATCCCAGGACACCATTCCAGGATCACAAAACCCCTTCCCGGGCCGAGTTTTCCCACCAGGAAAATTCCACCCTTGGTGGTTTTTACAGGGAAGTGATCCCGGATTTGTTTTGTTTCCAGGCAGGATCAGCAACCTCTCCAAAGGCTCCCACGGCTCAGGAATGTGCAGCCAGGGAAAAGCAGGATTTCCTGGGGGAAGTTGTCCTGGAATTCCGGGATTTCCCATTTTTGGATCCAGGGAAAACCAGGATTTCCTGTGGGAAGGTGGCCCTGCCCTTGGAATGGGATGATCCTCAGGGTCCTTTCCAACAAAAACCATCCCAGAATTCCGGGATTTCCCCCTCAAACAGGAGTGGGAGACCATTTTGGATCCCTAGGGAGGAATGGTGGGATTGGATGATCCCGGAAATCTTTGGGAAAGGTTTTTTTGGGGGGATTTGGGGATCATTCCAGTGGGAAAACCGAAGCACGGAGAGGGAAGCTGATCCCTAAATCTGACCCTTTTCCCACCCAGCTGCTCCAGAAAGTGGGAAAAATCCCCCTGCTGGCCTTCCCAGCTTCGGGAAAACTTGGATTTTTTGGGAATTCCAGGAAATTTCAGCCTTTCCCGGCTCCAGGAATGGGAGGGATTTTTTTTCCAGGGGGGAAGGGAAAGGGAAGGTTTGGGAAGGGAAGGTTTGGGAAGGTTTGGGAAGGTTTGGGAAGGGAAGGGAAGGAAAGGAAAGGAAAGGAAAGGAAAGGAAAGGGAAAGGGAAAGGGAAAGGGAAAGGGAAAGGGAAAGGGAAAGGGAAAGGGAAAGGGAAAGGGAAAGGGAAAGGGAAAGGGAAAGGAAAGGAAAAGGAAAAGGAAAGGAAAGGGAAGGCGATCCCTGCCCCTGCTTTTCCCGCAGATTTCCATGGAACTGGCTGAGGGAGTTGGGATGCCGGGTACCTGTTCCCGCTCGGGGCTGTTCCGGGATTCCACCTCCACCTGCAGGGAAATGGTCTCCCCGATGCTTTTCCTCTTGGACAAGCGATCCTCGTCTGGGAAGGAGGGACGGGAGGGATTGGAGGAGGGGCCCGGTCCCATCTCCGGGCTCACAGCAGGGGGAGACATTCCCAAATCCAGCCTGGGCGGCTTCAGCCCAGCCCATCTTTAATTCCATCTTTATCCCATCCCATCCCATCCCATTCCACCTTTATCCCACCCCATCCCATCCCATCCCATCCCATCCCATCCCATCCCATCCCATCCCATCCCATCCCATCCCATCCCATCCCATCCCTGTGTCCCATCCCATCCCATCCCATCCCTGTATCCCATCCCATCCCCCAATCCCATCCCATCCCATCCCATCCCATCTTTATCCCAGCCCAGCCCTCCCTTCCATCCCATCCCATCCCATCCCATCCCATCCCATCCCATCCCATCCCATCCCATCCCATCCCATCCCATCCCATCCCACCCCATCCCATCCCATCCCATCCCATCCCATCCCATCTTTATCCCATCCCATCTTTATCCCAGCCCATCTTTATCCCAGCCCAGCCCCGTATCCCATCCCAGCCCATCCTATCCCATCTTTATCCCATCCCATCCCATCCCATCCCATCCCATCTTTATCCCATCCCATCCCATCCCATCCCATCCCATCCTATCCTATCCCATCCCACCCAATCCCTTCCCGTGGCCCCCTCAGGAACTTTTCCCCCTTCCCTGTCCCACCCCTCCATCCCCCGTCACCCCCTGGAACACCGGGATATTTTCCCTCCCTCCCTGTCCCTGTCCCTGTCCCTGTCCGGGAGTATCCCAGGGGAATTCCCAGGGATGCAGGGAATGCTGAGGCGCTCCAGGCTGTTCCCTCTCCCTCCTTCCCTCCCTCCCTGTCCAGGGGTATCCTGTGGGAATTCCCATTCCCATAGGGAATGCTGAGGCGCTCCAGGCTGTTCCCACCCGCTCCTTCCCTCCCTCCCTATCCAGGGGTATCCCAGGGGAATTCCCATTCCCACAGGGAATGCTGAGGCATTCCAGGCTGTTCCTGCTCCTCCCTCCCTCCCTCCCTCCTCCTCCCTATCCAGGGTTATCCCGAGGGAATTCTCACCCAGGCTGTTCCTCTCCTCTCCTCCCTCCCTATCCAGGGGTTATCCTGAGGGAATTCCCACCGGTGAGCTGTGGGACGTAGGGAATGCTGAGGCGCTCCAGGCTGTTCCTGCTCCCTCCCTCCCTCCCTGTCCCTATCCAGGGGTATCCCGAGGGAATTCCCACCGGTGAGCTGTGGACGTATGGAATGCTGAGGCGCTCCAGGCTGTTCCTGCTCCCTCCCTCCCTCCCTATCCAGGGTTATCCCTTGGGAATTCCCACCGGTGAGCTGTGGGACGTATGGAATGCTGAGGCGCTCCAGGCTGTACCCGCTCCCTCCCTCCCTCTCTCCCTGTCCCTATCCAGGGTTATCCCAGGGGAATTCCCACCCAGGCTGTTCCCTCTCCCTTCCTCCCTCCCTATCCAGGGGTATCCCGAGGGAATTCCCACCGGTGAGCTGTGGGACGTAGGGAATGCTGAGGCGCTCCAGGCTGTACCCGCTCCCTCCCAGCCCTTCGCTGATCTTGCTCTGCCAGAAGAAAAACTCCGGCCCCAGCTGATCCAGGTTTGGGATTGGCCTGTGGAAAACAGGGAAAAAAACCCATGGATAACCAGGAAAAAACCATCTCCATGGAGATCACACCCAGCTGAGCCAGGCTTGGGATTGACCTATGGAAAACAGGGAAAAAAACCCCATGGATAACCAGGAATAAATCCATCTCCATGGAGATCACACCCAGCTGATCCAGGCTTGGGATTGACCTATGGAAAACAGGGAAAAAAACCCATGGATAACCGGGAAAAAAATACCCCCCATGGAGATCCCAGCCCAGCTGAGCCAGGTTTGGGATCGGCCTACGGAAAACTGGGAAAAAAACCTATGGATAACTGGGAAAAAACACCCCCTATGGAGATCCCAGCCCGGATGATCCAGGCTTGGGATCGACCTATGGATAGACCAGGAAAAACCCCCATGGAATGTCCCCCCTGGGATAGAAGGACCCAGGAGGATCAGGGAATGATCCAAATCCCACCCCCAAAAATCCCACCCCCCCTGTGCCCCTCAGGAAGGTTTGGGAATGGCCATTCCATGGGGAGCGGCTCCAGGGACCTTTTCCCGAAATCCAGCCGGGTAATTCCTCTCGATTCCCGAGGGAAAAGCTGTGCCAGTGGTTTTTCCTGTTCCATGGAGCCCCTGCAGGCTCTGGAAGGGGCTCCCAGCTCTCCCTGGATCCTTCCCTGCTCCAGCCTGGCCATTCCCAGCTCTCCCAGCCTGGATCCAGAGCCTGACATTGGATCCATGCCCAGCCCAACTCCTCTCTGGGAAGGAGTTCCGGGAACAAGGGGGGGTTCCCTGGGAATCTCGGCACTCAGGGAAGGGTCTCCCTTCCCCTTTCCCGCCTTTTCCATCCCCACATTCCATAAAAACCCCTCTGAGTGGATCCTGAGTGTCCTTTATCCTGGAATCCCAGAATGGTTTGGGTGGGAAGGGATTTTCAGGATCATCCCATTCCATGGGCAGGGACACCTCCCGCTGTCCCAGGGGATCCAGCCCGGCCTGGGACACTGCAGGGATCCAGGGGCAGCCACAGCTTCCCTGGGAATTCCCTGGGAATGGGAATGTGGGGGTCTCACCGGGGGTTCTCCACGAACGCGTCCTCGGGGAGCAGGAACGGGGCCTCCTTCTGGCGGGCCTGGATCACCTGGAAACACCCGGGATGGATGGGATGGGATGGGATCCTGACCTCAACCACAACCACGTTCCCATTTTACCATGTTCCCATGTTCCTGTGTTCCCATTTTCCCATGTTCCTGTGTTCCCATTTTCCCATGTTCCTTTGTTCCCATGTTCCCATTTTCCCGTGGTCCTGTTTTCCTGAGTTCCCATTTTCCCATGATGTTCTCATGTTCCCATTTTCCCATTTTCCCATGTTCCTGTGGTGTTCCTGTATTCCCATTTTCCTGCATTCCCATGTTCCCACGGTGTTCCCACGGTGTTCCCATGGTCCTGTTTTCCCATGTTCCCGTTTTCATGTGTTCCCATTTTCCCATGTTGCTGTGGTGTTCCCATGTTCCCATTTTCCTGTGTTCCCATTTTTCCGTGGTGTTCCCATGGTGTTCCCATTTTCCCATGGTGTTCCCATGTCCCCACATTCCCATATTCCCGTGTTCCCACGTTGTTCCCACGTTGTTCCCACATTCCCATTCCCCCCTCACCTGGTGGCCGTGCTGGCAGAGGGCAGGCAGGGCGAGCAGCTGTCCCCATTTCCCATGGTGTTCCCATGTCCCCATATTCCCATATTCCCGTGTTCCCATGATGTTCCCATGATGTTCCCACGTTGTTCCCACATTCCCACATTCCCACATTCCCATTCCCCCCTCACCTGGTGGACGTGCTGGCAGAGGGCAGGCAGGGCGAGCAGCTGTCCCCATTTCCCATGGTGTTCCCATGTCCCTGTATTCCCATATTCCCGTGTTCCCATGATGTTCCCATGATATTCCCATGATGTTCCCATGATGTTCCCATGATGTTCCCACGTTGTTCCCACGATGTTCCCACATTCCCACATTCCCATTCCCTCACCTGGTGGCCGTGCTGGCAGAGGGCTGGCAGGGCGAGCAGCTGTCCCCATTTCCCATGGTGTTCCCATGTCCCCGTATTCCCATATTCCCGTGTTCCCACGTTGTTCCCACATTCCCATGGCATTCCCATTCCCCCTGACCTGGTGGCCGTGCTGGCAGAGGGCAGGCAGGGCGAGCAGCTGTCCCCATTTCCCATGGTGTTCCCATGTCCCCATATCCCCCTGTTTCCCTGTTCCCATGTCCCCATATTCCCGTGTTCCCACGATGTTCCCATGTTGTTCCCACATTCCCATGGTATTCCCACGTTGTTCCCATTCCCCCCTGACCTGGTGGCCGTGCTGGCAGAGGGCAGGCAGGGCGAGCATCTGTCCCCATTTCCCATGGTGTTCCCATGTTCCCATATTCCCACATTCCCGTGTTCCCATGATGTTCCCATGTTGTTCCCACGTTGTTCCCATGATGTTCCCACATTCCCATGTTGTTCCCACGGCATTCCCATTCCCGTCTCACCTGGTGGACGTGCTGGCAGAGGGCAGGCAGGGCGAGCATCTGTCCCCATTTCCCATGGTGTTCCAATGTCCCCATGTCCCTGTGTTTCCCTGTCCCCATGTCCCCATATTCCCATGATGTTCCCATGATGTTCCCATGATGTTCCCATGATGTTCCCATGTTATTCCCACATTCCCATTCCCCCTGACCTGGTGGCCGTGCTGGCAGAGGGCAGGCAGGGCGAGCAGCTGTCCCCATTTCCCATGGTGTTCCCATGTTCCCATATCCCCGTTTCCCTGTTCCCATGTCCCCATATTCCCACATTCCCATGATATTCCCATGATGTTCCCATGATGTTCCCATGATGTTCCCACGTTGTTCCCACGTTCCCATGCCATTCCCATTCCCTCTCACCTGGTGGACGTGCTGGCAGAGGGCAGGCAGGGCGAGCATCTGTCCCCATTTTCCCATGGTGTTCCCATGTCCCCATATTCCCACATTCCCATATTCCCGTGTTCCCATGATGTTCCCACATTCCCATGATATTCCCACGGCATTCCCACTCCCCCCTCACCTGGTGGACGTGCTGGCAGAGGGCAGGCAGGGCGAGCAGCTGTCCCCATTTCCCATGGTGTTCCCATGTTCCCATATTCCCACATTCCCATGTTCCCATGATGTTCCCACGTTGTTCCCACATTCCCACATTCCCATTCCCTCTCACCTGGTGGACGTGCTGGCAGAGGGCTGGCAGGGCGAGCAGCTGGGCGATGAGGTTGAGGTAGGCGGCCCCCAGGGCCAGCAGGGCACAGCGCCCCGACGGGCACAGCCCCCCCTCCGCCACCTGCGCCACCTCCTGCGGGACACAGGGACACCATTCCCACCATTCCCATGGGATCAGGCCGGGAGAGGCCCCAGCATGGGGATTATCCAGGATTATCCACCCCGGGGGGCCTTCCCGAGGAGCCCGGGGGGTTCAGGGCGCTCCCAGCACGGGGTGATCCCGCTCTGAGGGGGAATTGGGAGGAGCTGGGACACCCCCTGTTTGGGATGGACAAAATTCCCATGGGATCAGGGCGGGAAAAGACTCCAGAGTGGTGATTATCCATGATTATCCACCCTGTGGAGTCACCATGTGCTGCTTCCCGAGGATCCCGGGGGGTTCAGGGCGCTCCCAGCATGGGGTGATCCCGCTCTGAGGGGGAATTGGGAGGAGCTGGGACACCCCCTGTTTGGGATGGACACAATTCCCATGGGAAAAGGATCCAGGGTGGTGATTATCCATGATTATCCACCCCATGGAGTCACCGTGTGCTGCTTCCCGAGGATCCCGGGGGGTTCAAGGCACTCCCAGCACAGGGTGATCCCACTCCGAGGGGAATTGGGAGGAGCTGGGACACCCCCTGTTTGGGATGGACACAATTCCCATGGGAAAAGGATCCAGAGTGGTGATTATCCATGATTCTCCACCCTGTGGAGTCACCATGTGCTGCTTCCCGAGGATCCCGGGGGGTTCAAGGCACTCCCAGCACGGGGTGATCCCGCTCTGGGATCACATGGAGACACATCCAGGGATCATGGAATGGGTTGAGTTGGGATATTAAAGCTCATCCAGGAGCCAGGGCAGCCCTGGAAAAGCTGTTCCAGGTGGTGCTCCCAGGCTGGGAAACACCGGAAAATTAAGGAATTGCAGCCAGGATTGACCCCACAGCCAGGAATGGGAGGGCAGCTCATTCCGGGCCATCCCAGAATTCCAGAGCGGGTTGGGTGGGAAGGGACCTTAAAGATCATCCCATTCCATGGGCAGGGACAATTCCTGCTATCCCTGGGGATCCAACCCGGCCTGGGACACTCCAGGGATCCAGGGGCAGCCACAGCTTCCCTGGGAATTCCAGCCCAGCCGGGAATCCCTTCCCAATCTCCCCCCCCCATCTCCCCTTTCCCAGTGGGAAGCCATTCCCTGTGTCCTGCCATTCCAGGCCCTGATCCCAAATCCCTCTCCAGCTCTCCTGGAGCCCCTGCAGGCTCTGGAAGGGGCTCCCAGCTCCCCTGGATCCTTCCCTGCTCCAGCCTGGCCATTCCCAGCTCTCCCAGCCTGGATCCAGAGCCTGACATTGGATCCATGCCCAGCCCAACTCCTCTCTGGGAAGGAGTTCCGGGAACAAGGGGGGGTTCCCTGGGAATCTCGGCACTCAGGGAAGGGTCTCCCTTCCCCTTCACTGTCTTTTCCATCCCCAGATTCCATAAAAATCCCTCTGAATGGATTTGGAGTGGCCTTTATCCCAGAATTCCACAATGGGTTGGGTGGGAAGGGATTTTCAGGATCATCCCATTCCATGTTCAGGGACACCTCCCGCTATCCCAGGGGATCTCATCCCGGCCTGGGACACTGCAGGGATCCAGGGGCAGCCACAGCTTCCCTGGGAATTCCAGCCCAGCCGGGATTCCCTTCCCACTCTCCAAGCCCCTCATGCTCTGGAAGGAGCTCCAAGCTCTCCCTGGAGATCTTTAACCACTCCACCTCTTCCCGAGAGACCCCAAATCCCTAAAAACCCCTTTTCCGTGAATTGCGGCTGACCTGGACGGCCAGGACGAGGCGGATGAGGTCCACCAGCACCTCCTCGTTGGCCAGCTCGATGCTCAGCAGCACCAGCAGGGTGTAGATGGCCTCGTAGTGGGGCCCATCGTTGTCCTCCTCCTTGGACACCAGGAAGAGGTGGCGGAACAGCTGCTGCCCGTGCTGGGGACACACGGAATGCGGGCATGGGGAGGATCCCAGGGGATTGACACCATGGGGTGGGCACCTGGAGCGGATCCCAGGGGATTCACACCACGGGATGGGCACCTGGAGCGGATCCTGAGGGATTCACCCCATGGATGGGTACCTGGAGCGGATCCTGAGGGATTCACACCATGGGATGGGCACCTGGAGTGGATCCTGAGGGATTCACACCACGGGATGGGCACCTGGAGCGGATCCCGAGGGTTTCACACCACAGCATGGGCACCTGGAGCGGATCCTGAGGGATTCACCCCATGGAATGGGCACCTGAGCAGTTCCTGAGGATTCACCCCATGGAAAGGCACCTGGAGCAGTTCCTGAGGGATTCACCCCATGGAATGGGCACCTGGAGCGGCTCCTGAGGGACTGATCCCATGGAATGGGCACCTGGAGCGGTTCCTGAGGGATTGACCCCATGGAATGGACCTGGAGCAGTTCCTGAGGGATTCACCCCATGGGATGGGCACCTGGAGCGGATCCTGAGGGATTCACCCCTTGGAATGGGCAGCTGAGGGATTCACCCCTTGGAATGTGGGACTGGAGCGGCTCCTGAGGGATTCACACCAGGGGATGGGCACCTGGAGTGGCTCCTGAGGGATTCACCCCATGGAATGTGGGCCTGGAGCAGATCCTGAGGGATTCACCCCATGGGATGGGCACCTGGAGCGGATCCTGAGGGATTCACCCCATGGAATGGGCACCTGGAGCGGATCCTGAGGGATTCACCCCATGGGATGGGCACCTGGAGCGGATCCTGAGGGATTCACCCCATGGAATGGGCACCTGGAGTGGTTCCCCAGGGATTGATCCCATGGAATGGGCACCTGGAGTGGATCCTCAGGGATTCACACCACGGGATGGGCACCTGGAGTGGTTCCTGAGGGACTGACCCCATGGAATGGGCACCTGGAGTGGTTCCTGAGGGATTCACCCCATGGAATGGGCACCTGGAGTGGTTCCTGAGGGATTCACCCCACGGAATGGGCACCTGGAGCAGATCCTGAGGGATTCACCCCTTGGAATGGGCACCTGGAGCAGATCCTGAGGGACTGATCCCATGGAAAAGGAACCTAGAGTGGTTCCTGAGGGATTCACTCCATGGAATGTACACCTGGAGCGGTTCCTGAGGGATTCACCCCATGGAATGTGGGCCTGGAGCGGATCCTGAGGGATTCACCCCATGGAATGGGCACCTGGAGCGGATCCTGAGGGATTCACCCCATGGAATGGGCACCTGAGGGATTCACCCCATGGAATGGGCACCTGGAGCAGATCCCAAGGGATTCACCCCATGGAATGTGCACCTGGAGTGGTTCCTGAGGGATTCACCCCATGGAATGTGCACCTGGAGCAGTTCCTGAGGGATTCACCCCATGGAATGTGCACCTGGAGCGGTTCCTGAGGGACTGATCCCATGGGAATCTCTGGATTCCCACCTGGAGCAGTTCCTGAGGGATTCACCCCATGGAATGTGCACCTGGAGCAGTTCCTGAGGATATTCCCAGGTTTCTGAGGGATCCCAGAGCTCCAAGAGCTGGGAATTTCCTGGAATTGTGGAATTACCTTCTTCATGAAGACGCTGTCCTGGCGGGAACACTTCTCCACCTTCAGCTTCAGCACGGAGATGTCGCTGATGGTGCTGCAGGAACAGCCCAGGGGAAGGAAAACTCGGCATTCCAGAGGCTGGGAGAGCCATTCCCACCTTCCCGAGGAACCACCATCCCCAGGGGGGTTTCAATCCCAAATATCCGAGATCTCCAGGATGGAACCAGCCCAGGAATTCTCCTGGATCATTGACATTCCTGCCAGAGCTCCCAGCCCAGATCCCATCCCCAAAATCCTCCTGGATCACTGACATTCCTGCCAGTGCTCCCAGCCCAGATCCCAGACCCCATCCCAGAAATTCTCCTGGATCACCGACATTCCTGCCAGTGCTCCCAGCCCAGATCCCATCCCAGAAATTCTCCTGGATCACCAACATTCCTGCCTGTTCTCCCAGCTCAGATCCCAGATCCCATCCCAGAAATCCTCCTGGATCATTGACATTCCTGCCAGTGCTCCCAGCCCAGATCCCATCCCAGAAATTCTCCTGGATCATTGACATTCCTGCCAGTGCTCCCAGCCCAGATCCCATCCCAGAAATCCTCCTGGATCACCGACATTCCTGCCAGTGCTCCCAGCCCAGATCCCAGGATCTCCAGGATTAAACCATCCCAGAAATTCTCCTGGACCATCAATTTTCCTGCCAGCGCTCCCATCCCAATCCCACTGCTCAGAATTCCCAGGAAACCCGCTGGGAATGACCTGATGGGGGAGAACTTGTGGCGGTTGCCGTGGCGGTCGATGAAGCTGATGAGGATCTCCAGGACAAAGAGGCGGATTTCGGGATCTTCCAGGAGGGCAGCGGAGAGCAGCCGGTCCAGGAATGCGCTGGGCAGAGCTGTGAGCATGTTACTGCACTGGAATCCCACCGACACCTGCACATTCCGAGGAAAAACCGCACCGCTGTCGCTCGGAACGGCGGATAAAACGCGGCTCGGGATCCTCCGGAAGGGAAGCAATGAGGGATTCACCCCATGGAATGTGGGCCTGGAGAGGATCATGAGGGATTCACCCCATGGAATGTGGGCCTGGAGAAGATCCTGAGGGATTCACCCCATGGAATGTGGGCCTGGAGAGGATCCTGAGGGATTCACCCCATGGAATGTACACCTGGAGCAGCTCCTGAGGGATTCACCCCTTGGAATGAGGACATGAGGGATTCACCCCATGGAATGGGCACCTGGAGCAGTTCCTGAGGGATTGATCCCATGGAAAAGGAATCCAGAATGGATCCTGAGGGATTCACCCCATGGAATGTGCACCTGGAGTGGTTCCTGAGGGATTCACTCCATGGAATGTGGACATGAGTGATTCACCCCATGGAATGTGCACCTGGAGCGGATCCCGAGGGATTAACTCCATGGAATGTGGGCCTGGAGCAGTTCCTGAGGGATTCACCCCATGGAATGTGGGCCTGGAGCAGTTCCTGAGGGATTCACCCCATGGAATGGGCACCTGGAGCCATTCCTGAGGGATTCACCCCTGGAATGGGCACCTGAGGGATTCACCCCTTGGAATGGGCACCTGAGGGATTCACCCCTTGGAATGGGCACCTGGAGTGGTTCCTGAGGGATTCACCCCATGGAATGGGCACCTGGAGCGGATCCTGAGGGATTCACCCCATGGGAAAGGAACCTGGAGCAGTTCCTGAGGGATTCACCCCATGGAATGGGCACCTGGAGCAGATCCTGAGGGATTCACCCCATGGAATGGGCACCTGGAGCTGTTCCTGAGGGACTGATCCCATGGAATGGGCACCTGGAGCAGTTCCTGAGGGATTCACCCCATGGAAAAGGAACCCAGAATGGTTCCTGAGGGATTCACCCCATGGAATGGGCACCTGGAGCAGTTCCTGAGGGATTCACCCCATGGAATGTGGACCTGAGGGATTCACCCCATGGAATGTGCACCTGGAGCAGCTCCTGAGGGACTGACCCCATGGAATCTCTGGATTCCTACCTGGAGCAGTTCCTGAGGGATTCACCCCATGGAATGTGGGCCTAGAGCAGTTCCTGAGGGACTGATCCCATGGGAATCTCTGGATTCCTACCTGGAGCTGTTCCTGAGGGACTGATCCCATGGGAATGGGGTGTATTCCTACCTGGAGCAGCTCCTGAGGGATTTATCCTATGGGAATCCCTGGATTCCTACCTGAAGCAGGGATTTCAGGAGCAGCAGTTCCTGAGGGACTGACCCCCTGGAATATGGACCTGGAGCAGTTTCTGAGGGATTTATCCCACAGGATCCCATGGAATTCCTACCTGGAGCAGTTCCTGAGGGATTTATCCCACGGGATCCCATGGAATTCCTATCTGGAGCAGTCCCTGAGGGATTTATCCCACGGGATCCCATGGAATTCCTACCTGGAGCAGGGATTTGAGGAGCATGATCTGGGTCAGGCGGTTCCGGTTCTCCCTGCAGGGACAGAGACAAATCCATGGATCTCCTGCCAGGGGGATTTTACACCATCTGGGAATCCCTCAACTTTGGGGCATTTCGGGCATTTTATGGGAATAAAAACCGGGAATGGGAGCAGGGGAGGGGGGATCAGAGTTTTCCAGGTAGGAATGGGCTGAATCCAAAGGGAAAACAATGGGAATAACCCTTCCCAAATCCCGAGGGAATCCCGTTCTCCCCAACCAATCAAGACCTTTCCATGGGAAAAATGATCCAAAGGGTTGTGTAAATCTGTGGGAATGGGGAGAATGGATCCAGGGGATTCCAGGGAAAAAGGGTTTGATTCCTGCCAGGGATTCCCAAACGCAGCAGGAATTCCAGGGGCAGTGTGGGATCACAATTCCAACGGGATTTGAGACCATCTGGGAGCAATTTACAGGGATTTGGGGACTTTCTGGGATCAAAAAGCAGGAATGGGAGCAGATCAGAGTTTTCCAGGCAGGAATGGGCTGAATCCAAAGGCAAAACAACGGGAATAACCCTTCCCAAATCCCGAGGCAAGCCAGTTCTCCCCAACCAACCAAGACTTCAGAACCATTTTCCCAGGGAATAAAAACCCTCCAAAGTCGTTCAAATCCAAGGAAAGGAATGTTGGGAGGTGGGAGGGGGTTGGGAAAGGTCGGGATCCGCCCCTCACCCGTCTTTTCCCGGCTCCATGGAATGCTGGGAGCAGGGCAGGGGCACCTTGTTCATGATGAACACCATCACCTCCGACTGCTGGTACGTGGGCAGCGTGCTGGCAAACGAGCCTGTGGATGTGGGAATGCCCTGGGAATGAGGAATTCCCGCCTGCATCGATCCCAGGGGGAGCAGGGACCCTGGATCCGGCACCTCCTTCCCTCCTTCCCTCAGGGATTCCAGCCCAGGAAAAGCAGGAATGGCCCTTCCCATCCCACAGCTCCAGCTGGGAGCTGCCAAATCCTTGGATTCAGAGCCCCCTTCCCTCCTTTCCTTCCCTCCTTCCCTCAGGGATTCCAGCCCAGGAAAAGCAGGAATGGCCCCTTCCATCCCACAGCTCCAGCTGGGAGATTCCAATCCCTGCTCCCAACCCTTCCTGGTCTGGAGCTGGTGAATCCTTGGATCCAGCAACATTTTCCTGCCCTCTTTCCCAGCTTTCCTTCCCTTCCTCAGGGATTCCAGCCCAGGAAAAGCAGGAATGTTCCTGCAGATCCCACCCACAGGAACCTTCTCCCTCCAGATCCACCAAAATCCCTCTCCCAGGAGGGACAATTCCAGCTGGGAATTCCAGCCAATCCCTGCTCCCAACCCTTCCTGGTCTGGAGCTGCCAAATCCCTGGATCCAGCACCTCCTTCCCTCCTTCCCTCAGGGATTCCAGCCCAGGAAAAGCAGGAATGGCCCTTCCCATCCCACAGCTCCAGCTGGAAGCTGCCAAATCCTTGGATTCAGAGCCTCCTTCCCTCCTTTCCTTCCCTTTCTCAGGGATTCCAAGCCAGGAAAAGCAGGAATGTCCCTTCCTTCCCATCCCACAGCTCCAGCTGGGAGATTCCAATCCCTGACTCCAACCCTTCCTACTCTGGAACTGCCAAATCCTTGGATCCAGCACCTTCTTCCCACCTTTCCTTCCCTTCCTCAGGGATCCCAACCCATCCCACAGCTCTAGCTGGGAGATTCCAATCCCTGCTCCCAACCCTTCCTATCCTGGAGTTGCCAAATCCCTGGATCCAGCACCTCCTTTCCTCAGGGTTCCCAGTCCAGGAAAAGCAGGAATGTTCCTGCAGATCCCCATCCACATCTTCACCTCCAGCTGATTCCAGACCCACCAAAATCCCCTCTCCCAGGAGGGGCAATTCCAGCTGGGAGATGCCAATCCCTGATTCCAACCCTTCCCTGCTCTCTTTCCCACCATTCCTTCCCTTCCTCAGGGATTCCAGTCCAGGAAAAGCAGGAATGTTCCTGCAGATCCCACCCACAGAAACCTTCTCCCTCCAGATCCACCAAAATCCCTCTCCCAGGAGGGACAATTCCAGCTGGGAATTCCAGCCAATCCCTGTTCCCAACCCTTCCTAGTCTGGAGCTGCCAAATCCTTGGATTCAGCACCTCCTTCCCTCCTTCCCTCAGGGATTCCAGCCCAGGAAAAGCAGGAATGTCCCTTTCCATCCCACAGCTCCAGCTGGGAGATTCCAATCCTGGATTCCAACCCTTCCTACTCTGGAACTGCCAAATCCCTGGATCCAGCACCTCCTTCCCTCCTTCCCTCAGGGATTCCAGCCCAGGAAAAGCAGGAATGTCCCTTCCCATCCCACAGCTCCAGCTGGGAGATTCCAATCCCTGATTCCAACCCTTCCTATCCTGGAGTTGCCACATCCTTGGATTCAGCACCTCCTTCCCTCAGGGATTCCAAGCCAGGAAAAGCAGGAATGTTCCTGCAGATCCTCATCCACATCTTCACCTCCAGGGTGATTCCAGACCCACCAAAATCCCTCTCCCAGGAGGGGCAATTCCAGTTGGGAGCTGCCAATCCCTCATTCCAACCCTTCCCTGCCCTCTTTCCCACCTTTCCTTCCCTTCCTCAGGGATTCCAGCCCAGGAAAAGCAGGAATGTTCCTGCAGATCCCACCCACAGGCAGCTTCTCCCTCCAGATCCACCAAAATCCCTCTCCCAGGAGGGGCAATTCCAGCTGGGAATTCCAGCCAATCCCTGTTCCCAACCCTTCCTACTCTCGAGCTGCCAAATCCTTGGATCCAGCACCTCCTTCCCTCCTTCCCTCAGGGATTCCAAGCCAGGAAAAGCAGGAATGGCCCTTCCCATCCCACAGCTCCAGCTGGGAGATGCCAAATCCTTGGATTCAGAGCCCCCTTCCCTCCTTTCCTTCCCTTCCTCAGGGATTCCAGCCCAGGAAAAGCAGGAATGGCCCTTCCCATCCCACAGCTCCAGCTGGGAGATTCCAATCCCTGCTCCCAACCCCTCCCACTCCGGAACCACCAAATCCCTGGATCCAGCCCCTCCTTCCCACCCTCCCCTCCCTTCCTCCCCCATTCCCAAACCCAAACCCCTCAGATCCCAGACCCCTCTCCCTCCGAAACCCGGGATACCCTCTCAGCAACCAAATCCCGCCTTTTCCCCTCATCCCAAAAAAAACACAACCCCAAATCCCCGGGATCTCTGCTGGGAAGGGGGACGGTCCCACACCGATGGTTTTGATGACGGCCTCCTGGAACATCCTCTCCTCCTGCTCCTTGATGATCCTGGAGCCCATCCCAGGGCTGATCCCGGGGCTGATCCCAGGGCTGATCCCGGCTCCGATCCCGGATCCGCTCCCGGCTCCGTCGTAGGTGCCGGTGAGGGCGTAGTCGATGCTGAGGCGCAGCTGCCGCAGGAGGGTGTTGAAAACCTCCAGCACCGTGGGGCCTGAGCGGGGAAAACCATCCCAGGGAGTCAGAATTCCAGGGAAAATCGGGATGGGGGGGAGGGGTCTCGTAAAGGCACTGTGGGGGGGGAGAAATTCCAGGGGGAGTCAGAATTCCAGGGGAAAAGGACCCTCAGACTTTGGGAATCTGGTGGGGAAGGGTCCCATGAGGGCACTGTGGGGTGGGAGAAATTCCAGGGGGAGTCAGAATTCCAGGGGAAAAGGACCCTCAGACTTTGGGGATCTCCTCAGGACACTGTGGGATGAGGGACAGGATAAATCCTGAAGGGAGTCAGAATTCCAGGGTTAAAGTGGGAATCTGGTGGGGAAGGGTCTGAGCAGGAGACTCTGGGATGAGGGACAGGGATACATCCTGAGGGGAATCAGATTTCCAGGGGAAAAGGACCCTCAGACCTTGGGAATCTGGTGGAGAAGGGTCTGAGCAGGACATTCTGGGATGGGTTAAATTCCAGGGGGAGTCAGAATTCCAGAGAAAATGAGGAGGTGGGGGGAGGGTCCCATGAGGGCACTGTGGGGTGGGAGAAATTCCAGGGGGAGTCAGAATTCCAGGGAAATGGGGATGGGGGGGAAGGGTCCCATGAGGGCACTGTGGGGTGGGGGAAATTCCAGGGGGAGTCAGAATTCCAGGGGAAAAGGACCCTCAGACCTTGGGAATCTGATGGGGAAGGGTCTGAGCAGGAGATTCTGGGATAAAGGACAAGGATAAATCCCAAAGGGATTGACAATTCCAGGGGTAAAGTGGGAATCTGGTGGGGAAGGGTCTCATCAGGAGACTCTGGGATAATGAAAGGGGTTAAATTCCAGGGGGAGTCAGAATTCCAGGGGAAATGGGGATGGGGGGGGAAGGGGTCTCGTAAAGGCACTGTGGGGTGGGAGAAATTCCAAGGGGATTCAGAATTCCAGGGGAAAAGGACCCTCAGACCTTGGGAATCTGGTGGGGAAGGGTCTCAGCAGGAGATTCTGGGATAATGGAAGGGGTTAAATCCCAGGGGGATTCAGAATTCCAGGGGAAAAGTGGGAATCTGGTGGGGAAGGGGTCTCAGCAGGAGATTCTGGGATGAGGGAGGGGGTTAAATCCAGAATTCCAGGGTCAAAGCACCCTCTGTGTGGATTTCCAGCACCTCATTCCCGAAATATTCCAGGGTGGGATTTGCAACTCCCACATATCCAAGATAAGGAGGGAAAAGTCCCTCTGGATCAGCAACCAAATCTCTGAAAATCCCTTTTTTCCCCACCAGATCTCTGAAAATCCCACTTTTTCCCCACCAAATCCCTGAAATTCCCACTTTTTCTCCACCAAATCCCCGAAATTCCCAGGTTTTCCCCCACCAAACCCCCAAAAATCCCACTTTTTTCCCCCCTCATCCCAAATGGAAAATCTCACTTTTTCCCCACCAAATCCCCAAAAATCCAAATCCTGGAAAATCCCACTTTTTCCCCCCCAAACCCCTGAAATTCCCACTTTCCCCCCCCCAAACCCCAAAATTCCCACTTTTCCCCAACCCCCAAAATTCCCGCTTTTTCCCCACCAAACCCCCAAAATCCCATTTTCCCCCTCATCCCAAATGGAAAATCCCATCTTTTCCACCAAA